CCAAGACGGAATAATACCCACACCTTACCTCCCTACAGTATTGGAGCCCTGGGGATAAAAAGCCTCCTGGAAAGTCTACAGCAATAGCAAAACCTCTGGGTTTGTCAAGATTTAAAAAGCCAAAAGAGAAAAGGGTGGGCCTCTGATTCTTGGTAATGCATGTAGGCAATTTCAGAGCTCAAGTTCATGGCAACAAATTGAATTATGTTGAATTATGGGGGAGGCAGCTCTGCCATTTGCAACCATGGATTGTTTGAGATCCTTTTAGAGGAAAATTAAAATATTTCACAGAGGGTAATAAAATGCCGGGTGTTTTGTAGGCATAATTGCTCAGCTCTCTTGGGCAAATAAGTAATTAGGCATTTTTATTTAAATCCTCTGTGTCGTCATTTTCTTTTATTAGTGGAGGGGGAAAGAAACTATAGTGGAAAATACATAAAATTCTGGAAATCACCAGAAGGTTAATTATAAAATTGTTTTAAGAATAAAATAAAAAGTAAATAAATATATAAATTTTAAAAGCACAACATAACAGCATTCTGCAGAGACAAAGGAGAGGGCCTGGCATTTATTTTCCCGAACATCAGAAATGGAAAGCTGTATCAAAGATTCCTTTGCTTTCACAGCAAATCCCACCAAAGAGCTTGGCAGGGGGAACCCTTCCAAGGAGATGGAGCCAGCATGGCATGGGAGCAGGAAGGGTGTCCTGAGCCTCGTTTCCACGCGCACAGCCCTGCCTTGCCCTGCCGTCCCTCACCCTGATCCGCTTGATGGGCAGGGTTGATTTCTCTCTCAGCTAGAGATCATCTGCTCCAGTCTCTCCATTTACAGATGAGAAACTGAGGGTGAGGGGTTGGAGTCCAAGGCTCAGTCCTCATTATGACTCCTGAGTCTCAGGATGGTCAAGTTATCAATGCCCATGACCCCACAGGTCTCGGGTCAGCTCCCCAGCCTAAGCCCTAAGTGTAGAAGTGAGGGGAGGCAAGACACGTGTCTAGTTGTTGCCTGTCATCCACATAGCTGGTCCATGTGAGCATCTTCTAGAGTCCACCTTCCAGTCTAGGCTGCTCTTTTAAGCAATAAGAGGAAGAATGAGGATGAGGATGCAGAGGGTTTATGCGCAAGGCCGGTCTGAGACCCATGAAAAGCCACTAATGGTATGGGGGAGGGGAGACTCGGGCATGTTCATAGGTAGTTATTCCTCTTCAAATTCTCTCTAAGGTTTGGGTTTATCTGTGGTGGCTTTTACCACTCCCAAAGCCACCTCCACCTGAGTAGCTACATGTTAATTTTGTACAAGTAATATGAGTGGTCATATGCACATGTGTGTGAGTTGTGGGGGAAGTGAGTTTACCTGCAAATAGGAACTTCCCACAGCTTTCTGCTAATTCCACAAGTGCCCAAGGAAGTGCCTTGTTCTAACCTGTTAACCTACACCTCCCCAACCAGAGTGGTCTGCATTGAGCCATCCAGAAACAATTAGTAAGTGCCTACAGTATACTGAGATCTGTGCTGGCCCTAGGAACCCACAGGGAAAAGAATACAACAACTCCTTTATACAGGGCAATTTTCAAAGAGAGATTTCAGCTGGCCCTTAAAGGGCTAGGAGGCGTTTGCCTGGCAGGGAAGGGAAGAAACAGCAGGGGTGCAGGTACAGAGGCATGAAGCAGCCCGGTTCAGGCAGCCACTGCAAAAGTGAGAGGGGCTGGGGCTGTGGTCGTTGGTTCACTGATAGTCTTGGGTCAGAGGCTGTGGTGTTCATGCAGCCCAGCACCTGGGCTGGAGGGCCAGCCCTTCGCCGGTGCCAAATGCTGGAGAAAAGGAAAAAGGAGGGAGCAGGAGAACAGAGAAGTGAATTGTGGTTTATCACAGAATTGAATTCATAGAGCAGTTAAAACTAGCACAATAAACACAGATGACTCTCAAAAATGTAATGGTACATGAGTAAAGCAAGAAGCTTTCAACATGCATAATAGCGTTACACACACACACACACATACACACACATACACACACACACACATACATTAGGTTAAACTACATGAAATTGTCAATGTTTGACCATTTTTACCTACAAAAATAACATTTCATTTGGTTGCACCTGGTGGACAGCTTCAAGCCACACCAGATTACAACTCTCCCACCTCCATGTGTGACACATTCAAGGGGTGGACTCAGCAGGCACCAAAACCCTACTGAAGCAAGTCTTGCTCCATAGGGTTAATTCTTGCACAGCAGCTCCTCCACTGTAGTCATAGCTGGTCCTCACATCCAATCAGCCTGGTGGTCAATCCCTCCCAGTGACATGCCAACAGCAATCAAGGCTCAACTATAGCAGGACAGTGTATACAGCCCACACAGGGGAGGCTGCACCACCAGCCCTACAGCATACTGCTATGTAAGACCACTCTACCAAGCCCAGGAGACATAGCAGTTCTACCTAATACCTAGAAACAAATACACAGAGGCAGCCAAAATGAGGAGATAAAGAAACAGGTCCCAAATGAAAAAAGGGGAAAAATATCCAGAAAAAAAGAATGAAGTGAAATGGAAGCAAGCAAACCACCAGATATAGAGTTCAAAACAATAGTTTTAAGGATGTTCACGGAACTTAGTGAGAACGTCAACAGCATAAAAAAGGACATGGAAACCATACAAAAGAACCTGTCAGAAATGAAAAATATACTAACTGAAGTGAAGAATAAATTACAGGGAATCAAGAGTAGAGTAGATGAAGCAGAGAATCAAATCAGTGATTTGGGATATAAGGAAGCAGAAAACACCTAATCCAAACAGCAAAAAGAGAAAATAATTCAAAAAATGAGCATAGCAGAAGGAACCTCTGGGACAACTTCAAGTGTACCAACATTCACATCATGGAGTGCCAGAAGGAGAAGTGAGAGAGCAAGAAATTGAAAACCTATTTGAAAAAATAATGACAGAAAACTTCCCTAACCTAGTGAAAGAACTAGACCAGTGATGGCCTATGACACGCGTGTCAGGTGACACGCAACTCATTTTTTTGGTGGATTTTTCTTTGTTAAATGGTATTTAAATATATAAAATAAATATCAAAAATATAAGTCTTTGTTTTACTATGGTTGCAAATATCAAAAAATTTCTATATGTGACACGGCACCAGAGTTAAGTTAGGGTTTTTCAAAATGCTGACACACCGAGCTCAAAAGGTTCGCCATCATTGAACTAGACATACAAATCCAGGAAGTGCAGAGTCCAAAATAAGATGAACCCAAAGAAGCCCACACCAAGAAACATCATAATTAAAATGCCAAAGTTGAAGACAAAGAGAGAATCTTAAAGGCAGCAAGAGAAAAACAGTTAGTTACCTACAAGAGAGCTTCTATAAGACTGTTAGCTGATTTCTCAACAGAAACTTTGCAGGTCAGAAAGGATTTGGTACAAAATATTCAAAGAAATAAAAAGCAAGGATCTACAACCAAGATCATTCTACCCAGCTAAGCTATGTATAATTTAGAATCGAAGGACAGAAAAAGAGCTTCCCAGAGAAGAAAAAGCTAAAGGAGTTCATCACCACCAAACCAGTATTACAAGAACTTTTAAAGGGTCTTCTTTAAGAAAAAGAAAAAAATTAAAAATATAAATAATAAATGACCTTGTGACAGCATGGATGAACCTAGGGGGTATTATGCTAAGTGAAATAAGTCAGTCAGAGAAAGACAAATACCATATTATTTCACTTATATGGGGAATCTAAAAAGCAATATAAACAAACAAAACAGAAACAGATTCACAGATGCAGAGAACAGACTGATGGTTGGCAGACAGGAGGGCGGGTGGTTAGGGGTCTGAGTGAAAAAGGTGAAGGAATTGACAGTTACAAAATAGTCATGGGAATGGAAAGTACAGCATAAGGAATATAGTCAATAATATAGTAATAACTATGTATGGCGCCAATTGTGTACTGGAAATATCAGAGGGAACAATATGATTGTCTAACCACTATGCTGTACACCTGAAACCAATACAAATAATATTGAATGTAAACTGTAATTGAAAAAAAAATTTAAGAATTTTTAAAATTTCTTATGTGGTTCTGGGTGCAACCAGGATCACGGGTCTACACGAATACCAGCCTGACTTACTTGCATCAGAACAAAAGAGAGCTACTGGATGTTCCCAGGGAGCAGGGAGGTAAGGAGTGACATTGCTACTGAATGTGAGACAGGCGGGGTAGAGGCAGGAGGAAACCTTTATGGTCAAGTCCCATGACTGCTCTATACTGGTCAGGATCAATACCTATTGGAAAGTGCTGTGAGCTGAATTGTGTCCCCCTAAATTCATATGCTGAAGTTCTAACTCCTAGTACCTCAAAGTGTGACTGTATTTGGAAATAGGGTCTTTAAAGAGGTGCTGAGGGTGAGCGCTCATCCAATGACTGGTGTCCTTATAAGAAGAGGCGATTAGGACATGGACGGGTATAGAGGGAAGGGCATGTGAAGACATGGGAGAAGATAGCCGTCTATAAGCCAAGGAGAGAGGCCTCAGGGGAAAACAATCCTGCTGACACATTGATCTCAGACTTCTGGCCTCCAGAATTGTGGGAAGATAAACTTTCGTTGTTTAAGAAAAAAAAAGACATACAAGGTAATGATTAATGCTAAATTTAAGAGAAGGTTCTTTCTGGAACAAGGAATGGATTATGCCAATGGAAAGAGATACAGAGGGGGATGCAATTTTACCTGTCTTGTTTTCCTTCTTAAAAAATATAAATCTGAAGAAGAAAAGAAGGCATAATGCTAAGGTTTTTATTTTTTTCTATCACTTTTTATGTTTGAAATAGCTTGTAATTTTTTTTTAAAGTTGATCTTGCATAACTCCTTGCATCCGAAGCCAGGATTGTGTCTGGGATGCCGAGGGCTGAGGGTGCAGGGGAAGGCAAAGGGCTCCCAGAGCCTGGCCCCCACCCCTCAGACCACAGAGGCAACCCCCTGTGAAACCCCCCACCTCTGTCTTCACAGCCCCCAGAGAAGGAGGGCGCACTGCCTCGGCAGGTGGGCAACAAGACCGAGTGCGGCCTGCTGGGCTTCGTGCTGGACCTGAAGCAGGACTACGATGCCGTGCGCAGCCAGATGCCAGAGGAGAAGCTGTACAAAGTGTACACGTTCAACTCTGTGCGCAAGTCCATGAGCACAGTCATCAAGCTGCCGGACGAGAGCTTCCGCATGTACAGCAAGGGCGCGTCTGAGATCGTGCTCAAGAAGTAAGTGGCACAACGAGCGGGCCATGGCACGGGGAGCCAGGGACCATGGGTGTCACAGCTCCAGCTGTCCAGCCAGAGGAGCCATCTGGCACCCAGAGGCTCAGAGAGGGCCCTGCCCACCTCCAGGTCCCTTGCCCAGTGCTTTTTCCACTATTTCCTCTTTAAAATTTCTATCAAGAGTCCTCCTCCTCTTCCTCCTCCTCCTCCTCTCTTAGTAGGAAGTTCTACACATTATCACTGTTAGATCCCTCTTATTTCACTTCCCTTAGAATAGAGTTGGTTGATGGTAGTGATTTTCACTGTCAGCCAGTCTCCTCTGACTCTAGGTACCAGATCTAAGCCTAGAGAACTAGGCAAGTTACTCCCTGACTCTGGGCCTCAGTTTCCCCACTTGTACCTTGAAGGGATTGGTCTAGTCTAGTGGTTCTGAACCCTGGCTACACCCTAGAATCACCTCAGGGAGCTTTTAAGAAACCATCGATTCCTGGAATTACCCCAGACAAACTGAACTGAAACTTCTGGAGTAAGGCTCACACATGGGTATTTATTTATTGTGTCCCCCGTGCCATTCTAATGTGCAAGCAGGGTCAAGAACCACTAGCCTAAGTTTTATACCCTTTAAAAGCCATTTTAGCTGTGGAACTATTTTTTCAGATGAACCTTGTGAATATAAAACAGATAAAAGTAAACCTGCTCTTGCTGAGTGCGCTGGGGCAGCTATTACAAGGAGGCTGCCTGATTTCTTTTTGGTGGTTCCTATTTCATCCTTGCCTGGGGCCCATGGGATGCACCAGCCCTGGAGCCTTATGGGGGATGGGCTGGACAGGCATTGGATGTCCCACCACAGCCAGCTGGACATCACTGGGGAGAAGGAGGTGACCTTGAGCCAGTCAGAGAAAAGATCCTGGGCCCTTGGCTGGACCTTACCCATCTCCATCCCACCCTCCCCCAGGTGCTGCAAAATCCTCAACGGGTCAGGTGAGCCCCGGGTCTTCCGGCCCCGTGACCGGGATGAGATGGTGAAGAAGGTGATCGAGCCTATGGCCTGTGATGGGCTCCGCACCATCTGTGTGGCCTACCGCGACTTCCCCAGCAGCCCCGAGCCTGACTGGGATAATGAGAACGATATCCTGAACGACCTCACTTGCATCTGTGTGGTGGGCATTGAGGACCCCGTGCGGCCTGAGGTAGGCCCCCCCACCAGCAGATCAGGAAAAAGGGTTGAGGCTAGGAGTCCAGCCAGCTGGGTGACCTGGCATAAGTCACCTCACCTCTCTGAGCCTCAGTTACTCTGTGACACACCTAGGGTCTTCTTACCTTCTCTTAGACATTCAGACTCATCAGACCAGCATAGGCCAAACTTGGCATTGATCTGCTCAGGTTTTAAGGCGGAATCCACACCATGCCGGCAATTCTGGAGCCGTCCACCCAGCCATTCAAGACCTTCCACTGGCCCCTCAAGGGATAGGCGTGAGTGCTGCTGTTTTAGAAGCCTCCTGCTCCACAGGAGCCAGGACCGCCTGTAACAAATTCATAGGCCTAGATTCCTAGGTCCATGAAAAGGAGATGGCCAGTAACAAAAGTCACCAGACTCAGGACAACCCCAAGTGTGGTATTCCTGTCAGCATCTAGAGTTCTCTCCGTCCAGATCCAGTTTACCAATTAGTTCACACTCGCCAGCTTGCCTAGGGTCACAGCCGACAGTCTACCTTGATCAGGTTTCCAGAGGAACAGACCTAGAAAGTTAACAGAAGGTCAGATTCTCAAGCTGAAGGGTAGGGGAATGATGACTAGCACAGCCTTCCCCATGAGGATGGAGGGAGTTGATGTACCAAGTTCATCTAATGCCGTGCTCAGCTTACAGTAGGTCTTCAATCTCCTTTAGCTGAATCTGAGCCAAGAATTCAGGGCTGAGGGTTTGCAGGGTCGGGAAGGATGGGATGTGGGTGGTTAGTCAGGCTGCCCAGGCCAGCGAGAGGCTGTGGGGAGAGGAGAGAGCTACCTCAAGTCTCCAAAATACTGATGTGGACAGGCAGAGGAGTCACCTACCCTGAGGGGCCCAGAGGGCAGAGCCTAGGACACCAGGCAAGGAGAGAGGGGCCAGCCTCTCCTTCCTCCTAGGACTAACACAGCCTGGGGTCTAGACCCGATTTCCTGGCCAGGCCCCAGCTGGGTCCAGGTGGCCACCACTGTAGGATTGGTGACAGTGCTCCAGGGCCCACCCTCCTCCATCAGTGGCAACTTCCTTCTTCCCCACTTGCCCTGACTATTTTCTGGGGCCTCTGGGCATTCCCTGCTCCTCTTAGAGCCTCTGGGCATTCCCTGCTCCTTTTCAAGGGAAAGGGGTAGACAAGATGCTCACCAAGTTTCCAGCCCCAATGATGATTCCAAAGACCAAAAGAAACAAGAAGGTCACAGACATGGACTTTCACGTTTAGGCAGCAGGGAGAGGGATCAAGAGTGTGAGCTCAGGCATCAGACAGACCTGGGATCCTGAGCCCTAGCATTACTGGCTGCGGTGACCTGGGACCAGTTACATAACCTCTCTGAGCCTCCGTTTCCTCATTGTAAATGGGATAATAGTATTCTGCACACGCGCGTTCACACACACACACACACACACACACACACACACGGATACTGAAATCACCAAATCATGTACATACAGGCAATAGGAAAGGTGGCACAAGATAGGTGGTCCGGATCCCCTTCCTTTCTGCCCCTCCCCAATAGATTCATTATTCTGGATCTAATGACACATAACAGCCCCTAATACAGAGCCTCGCTTGCAGAAGATGCTCGATAAGTGTTTGTGAAAGGAATGAATGAGAATGGATAGGACTTGAACCCCAATCTTCTAACACTGTGCCTGGTGTTCATCTTACACTCTCACACACACACACACACACACACACACACACACACAGGCCTCCTCACTCCCACCCAGAGCCTAAAACTGCAAAGACAACTAGTGCCCTGGTGCTTACACCAGAGCCCATATGCGTTTTCCTGCAGACCGCATCTCTCCCTGGACAGACAGGACGTTTTTTCAGCCCCGCTATAGGATGCCTGCTCATTACCAGCTGCTAATGGGTTCAGGCTTCACCGTGATGTGTTATCTCCTCACAAGCCCTGGAGACTTGTCCCTGCACAGCACATGAGGCTGGCCTGCAGCTCCCCTGTCCTTCCCATCCCCAGGATCCCCCTCCAGCCCCACATGCCCAGAGCTCCTGGCTCATCACCCTGCCTCAAAACACCCCTGGGGTGGGTGGAAAGTAGCCATGAGTGCAATGATAAGAAATGTATCTTATGTCATGACTCAGCAGACACACATGCTTAACTGAAATAAGAATCTCACAAAGTCATGTAATGCACTTAAGTATTTCTTATTCTCTTGTATTTCTTTCTTTTTTAAATTCTGGTCACCACCCATTAAACTGACTTCACATTCCACTAAAGAGGCAGGGGGGCGACTCAAGGTTTGCACTGCTGATCTAGTCCAAACACTTCCCCACACCCCCAATATGCAGATAAAAACACTGAGCCCAAACAGGGAGAGTGACATTCCCAAAGTCTCTCCTTGTAAGTGGCCGAGTGAATTCAGATTAGAACAGGTTTTCTGTCTTCCTGCCCCAGGACCTTCTCCTGGGTGCCATAAAAAAAGAAAAGGCACCCTAACCGGTTTGGCTCAGTGGATAGAGCGTCGGCCTGCGAACTGAAGGGTCCCAGGTTCGATTCTGGTCAAGGGCATGTACTTTGGTTGCGGGCACATCCCCAGTAGGGAGTGTGCAGGAGACAGCTGATTGATGTTTCTCTCTCATCGATGTTTCTAACTCTCTATCCCTCTCCCTTTCTCTCTGTAAAAAATCAACAAAATATAGTTTAAAAAGAAAAGAAAAGGCAAGCACCTCAGGAGGGTGAGGAGAGGAGAGAAGATTCCTGAGAGGGGCTGAACTGGGTTCCTGGCATTTTCTGTTGACAGTATGATCATCCAGAGATGTGGCTGCAGGCTCAGGCTGTGGGAAGGGTTGCTGCCCCACCCAGCAGGACGGGTGCACTTTCATCCTGGAGGCCTCTACAGTAAAGAAAGTGGGCCTGGGTCCAAGCCCCAACCCTGCCACTGACAAGCCACTTCCCCTCTCTGTGCCTCAGTCTCCTCCTCTGTAAAATGGGAGGTTGGCCGAGGTGCCCCTCAGGTCGCTTCCAAGCTCTGACATTCTGAGCCAGCTGACTGGAAGGCTTACCTTCACCCCTTTCTTCTCTCCCTTCAGTCAGCACATCCCTGTTGGTGATCTCTCTCACCTTGGCTCACCCCCAGGATGTAGATTTAGAAGTTGTAAATTGTGTTAGAGCGCAGCAACTTACTGAAGTGACAATAGCAGTCAAGGGACATGGGTTCTAATTCTGTGCTGCCACTCCTTCACAGAAGACCTCCCTGCGTCTTTTCCCTGGGCCTTAGTTTCCCCATCTAAACAATGAGAAAGTTGGACATTCAGAGTAGGAGTTACTGATGACACTGCTAGAAGGTATAAAGCTCTTACCTGTTGATTCAGCATCTCCCAGAGAGGGAGGGGGCGGGTAGATATGGGGCCTGAGGAAACTGGCAGGTGTAGTTCTTTTATTCTTGTTCAGGCTAAGTAATTTATGCATGTGGAGCCCAATTCAAACAGTTCAGTGGTTCAGTGGCACAGACAGGGTGAAGTAGCCCCCCTGCAACCCCCGATTCCCCAGTTCCCACCTCAGAGACAGCACCCTCATCCGTGTCTTGGATGGCCTTGGGGAATGTCTCTGCCTGCAGTGAGTGTGTTTGTGTCAAGTTCCCCTGGACAGCCCTGAGGCCGGCCAGGGTGAAAACCTCAGCCTGGACCACCTCTAGGGCCCGATAAGCACGATAAGCACGTTCAGACTCGGTTTGCAGCTGCCACAGGAAAACAAACTCTGGCTCCTTGGTTTCCCCATCTGTCAAGGGGGAGAACCTCATCCCACAAGAAGACCAGGACAGAACAGATAAACACAGGCTTGCCAAGCACTCCACCATAGGACGCTACCGCAGGTACATTTTCTGAGGCTGATTGAGGCCAGTGTGGAGAAAGACATCAGGCGAGTGCCCGTCTGGGATTTGTTGGCTTATCTGGGGGTGTGGGAGCCCTTGGAGTCACAGACAACCGGCTGTCACCAGAAACAGCAGATGTTTAAAAGCCTTTATTTAATGAAAACAGGAAGCACCCATTTCCTGGCTGTTTTTCCTCAGTGAGAAATATTTAGGATAATTTTAGCAAAAGAAGGAATCTTTTTTAAGTGTTATAGCTACTTTATCTATGTACAAAGCATATTTCAAGCAGATTGATGTCCCTGGGGCTTGAGTTTTAATCATCTCTGAATCCTCGGTGCCCAGAACCATTAAACGTTCAATAGCTATTTGCCAAATAAATGAATGAGTGAGCAATAGGAGGTACTGAGAGCAGTTGAAGGAAGTGTGCCCTGGGGTTGGAGAAAGCAAGGATGGCTTATGAGTAGAGAGCACTTCCCATGAAAGATGGGACATCCAGGCAGAGGGCATAGCACAGGCAAAGGCAAGGAGGTGGGAAGGGTTGCTAAGTGTTGGAGGCTAGTGAATACCTCAGTCGGGTTTATAAGAAAAAAGGCTAGAAATGGATCTTGGAGCTAATTTGTGAAGGGTTTGCAAATCCCCATCCAAACGCATTCATCTGGCCGTGCATAAAATCACATGCCCCAGCTCAGACTTAAAGGGACTTAAGCACCGAGCTGGTTCACAATGCGCGGCATTTACAGAGCACCTTCTCTGTGCCAGGCCCTCTGGAGGGTTCCGAGCCATGGGCAGCACCCACCCTCCAGAGCCCAGAGCCTAAGGAAATGTCTGGAGAAGGGGAAATGTAGATGCCCAGCACACAAAAGCATGAAGCAGAACCGGCTGAAGCACAACCAAGGCGTCCAGTTAGGAGGGCCAGTGCCCAGGAAGGAAGTGGAGTATCTCAGGTGCGAGGGAGGCCCCTCAGGTGTTTCCAGGTCTGTCTTGAGTACCCCAACATTTGAGGCAGGTCACAGGCCCCTAAAGTATCTGACCCAAGAATCATGGTGGGGTGCCCATCCATCCCACTACTACCACCGGCTCCTCCTCATGCCCAGATGCCCACTGCACCCCACCCGCCCTGCATCTGCACCCACACCCCCTCGCACCCCTCCCCTCCCCCAGCAGAACAACACAAGCAAGGAAGACTGGGGTGTGGATGCAGATGCATTCTCGTCACCAGCATCTGCAGGCCCTGTGCTTGGTGCTGCTCGGCCCCTGTCACAGGACTCTCCAGCCTCGCTGAAGGGTGGAGACTGTCATCCCCATTTCACAGAAGAGGAAACCAAGGCTGAGGTGGAGCCCAGGGCAAAGCCCTAAGCCCTCTGTCCTGAGGCAGGGAGGCTTCCACTGCACAGAGAAAAGTGTGGGGCCAAATAATTAGCCTCCTCCTCTTTCTCCCCGGTGGACCTATTTGGGGGAGACCCAGAGAATGGGGTTCCAGGTCGGCAGTTTAGCTCCCTGAGACAGTCTTGAAAGCAGAAGTCTTTCTAAAACATGGCACCAATAACCTTCCCAGTTCAGAATGTGCCATGGCTCCCAGGCCTGAGGGAGCAAGGCTCTGGTTCGAGCACCTTTGGACCTCAAGCCCCTCTCCAGCCTCATGGCCCTCCATCAGCCTCAGCCTCAGCCTCCGCCGCTCCAGGCCACCCACAGTGGTTCATTGGCAGCACCCTTCCACCTTCCCTGCCTGTGCACCTCACGGGACAATCTTCTGCAGCCAGGACCACAGCCAAGGCAGCATGCCAGGCACCGGAGCCTCAGTTAGTGTTGGCTGAACAGAAGCAGCTCAAATGTCCTCTCTTCCAGGAAGCTCTCGCAGATTTCTTCTCCCCACCAACTTCCTTCTAAAGTAACAGCATTCTCCCCTGTGCTCCCAGAGCCCTTTATGCAGATCTTTACCAAAGACAAAGACCCTACCTCCATGCAAGAGTACAAGGACAATTATGTGAAATATGTGGAAGGACACGATAGACTTGTTCCGCTGTGGAGCAATCAGCCCGGCAGCAGTGAGCGCCCTGTCATCAGAGGCGTGCAAGCAGAGGCTGGCCGGCCTTCTGTCGGGAACACCTGGGGGGAGATCTAGGCAATGAATATAGGTCAGAGTCACAACCTATAGCTCCTTCCAACTTCAAGACCTCAAGTTTCTTTGAAACAAATATAACCTAAATTATTTCTTTTAGGGCAGGAGCCACATAAGGTATGCGTTCCCAAAAGAACAGTGGCTCCTCCCTATCTTCTGGGACAGGAGACAGCGGGGGCTGCAGCCCCAGCGACAGCCATTGTGAGGACACGATACATTATGTAAACAGGATGTGGACATTCCACATCCCCACTCCCTCCGGCTCCATAAAAAGAGGTCACATTTGCTTATGTGAGCAGCCACTGCGGCACAAGGCAGAAACCTTGCTCATGTGACCCCCATCCCTGAATAGGCCCCAGAAGGCTCCTCCTTGACCCTCACTCCACCACAAGGTGGTCATTCTTAGGAGCCTGGATTTTCTCTACCAGGGGCAGCCCCTGAAGAAGGTGACACAGGCTGAGCTTCAGCAGGTCACGCTCCTGGTGGTCAGGGTAGGGAAAAGAGGGAAGAGGGTCAAGGCCAGAGGCAGGGAGGCTGAGGAGGGGCTGGGCAGTGACCCTGACCTGAGATGATGGTGTAGAAAGGTGTGGACAGAGGCCGGATATTTTCAAGGTCGACCCTTGTTATTAAAATCCTGGGGGCAGAAAGGGACCAGCAGGCAGGAGTCATCAACAGTCAGGTTTGGGACCAACATTCTAACTCTCTGTGTTTGCTAAGGCTGCTGTAACAACCTGGGCAGCTCAGACAACAGAACGGTGCTGTCTCCCAGTCCCCGGACCCTCCCCGGCTTCCGTGCTCGGCTGGCAACCTTCAGCACTCCTTGCCATGGAGCAGCATCGCCCTGACCTCTGCCTTCTTCCTGAGTGAGAGTCGTGTCCAAATGTCCCCTCTTTATGAGGACACCAGTCACATTGGGTGAGGGCCACGCTAATGACCTCGTCTTTTTTAAAAAATATATTTTTTATTGATTTCAGAGAGGAAGGGAGAGGGAGAGAGAGATAGAAACATCAATGATGAGAGAGAATCATTGATCAGCTGCCTCCTGCATGGCCCACACTGGGGATTGAGCCTGCCACCTGGTCATGTGCCCCCGACTGGGAATCGAACTGGGACCTCCTGGTCCATAGGTTGACGCTCAACCAGAGCCACACTGGCCGGGCCCTAATGACCTCATCTTAACCTGATTACCTCTATCAAGACCCTGCCTCCAAATAAGGTCACATTCTGAGGTGCTGAGGGTGAGGATGTCAATGTATCTTGGGGGGCAGGGAGGGCACATTTCAGCCCCAAACAGTCTTCAAACTCTCTCAACAGTGACTTGGCAGATTTAGCTCCCTGAGACACCCCCCGGGTGGACGTGAGCTCCCAGGCACTGAGATGTGCACGAGTGGGATGTGGGACTCAGCCCCTCCAGTCCAGAGGTGCTACAGTGCTTTGGTCTCTTAGTACATAGGGTTTTCTGCCCTTGACATGTCCTCTCCTGCTAAAAAAAATTTTTTGCACCAAATATTGCCTTATTACTTTATTATCTGTCACTGTCCATGGGTAAGAGTTTCATCCAGTTGATCTGTGTTGTCTATAAAGTTGATCTGTGTTCTGACAGCTCCAGGCTGGTTTTTGCAACCTAATTGCTGGCCACATCCACAGTTCTGCATAAGGTTGGGGTCTGGGTGAGGGGATAGGGTGAGGCCTTGCTGGCTTCTGATTGGCTAGCTCTGCCTGGCCTGATTGGCCCAGATACCAGTATTACAGAGAGGGCAGGAGGCAGTTGTTACCCTCACAGGGAAATGTCATACTTTACATGAAACATAATCATTTGCATTTATTATAAGCCAGTGTC